TTCGAATCCATTTCAAATTCGCATTTTTTTTCCTCACTCATTTGGAATTGAAACGATAAATACGTTTATACACTCCCGTAGTTCCCTCAAAAACCATACCCGATTCTAGACAAAAATGAGCAAAGTGTACACTCGTTTTCGGACCAAACCGGCGCAAAAACCCTATCTGACGGGGCGACTGAAACCTATATAGCTTATATAAGGGAGTACCCCCGGGCGCTAATATTACCTTATCCAGTATTGACTTCAGTAGTTCTAGCCAAACGATTCTGATCGCCTCTATCAAGTTAAAATGTATTCAACAACGTTAAAAGGAGGAAAATTTACATACTGCCCAGCCGTATGCAGATTGGTGTTTCGTGGGCATGGGGAAGGTTTATGGCTGGGCGATTATGTAGTATTTTTAGAATATTCACGAGAGCAATCGATGACATCGATAACATTCGATAGAAATCGATAAAACCGATTTCGATTTTTATCAAAGTTATAAATTTGTAGTGTCTGTAGTGATAGTTTAATTACAAATTGACCTCTTTAGCTTGCATGTTTGGTTTCCTTAATCTGTGTGAGAACCGCTCTAGAGAATTGTTTCACGTGCATATCTGAGGTAATATGTACGCCATAGGGCCAAATTACCCTAAGACCTTCATTGGAAAAACAAAATATAAAAGCTAAAGAGTATAGTGTCTCAGTTTCTTGCATGCAATCGTAAAGCGAGCAGAGCAAAAGTGATGCCCTCTTTTCAATTTTCCGACACTCGACTGAAAACCGGTTTCTTAAAATTCTAGAACCAGTTGGCTGGCTCCAAGATAGTACAGAAAAAGCGGATCAAGAAAGGCTGCGAGAAAACTGCGAGGGTGCCTCTCCCTTCCCACCTTTTTCTGCTTGTTCGCTGTTTCACTGCCCGTTCGTTTATATAGTCTCTCTGTGCAGTGTGTTGACCGAGAGCCTGGCACAGGCTATTCTAGAACTAAATCTTGGTTAGATTTGAGCCCATTTTTGCGTAGAAAACAAATTTGTATCTGAAAATGATTTCAGTTGCCTTATAGATGAGTGCTAAAATTTTCAGATGCAGGAAACGATTGATGGATTTCTCTTCTCTTCTCTACAAGGTAGCCGTATAGCAACTTCTAACATTGGTTTAATTTGGACGTTGTCCTCGAAGCCGAAACCATTCAGCAGTCTTTTGTCTCGGAAGGTGAAAGTCATTGTTTTAATGTTTTGATCGTTTGCTATGCCAATGCTTGCAATGCTACCTAGAGAGCTGTACAGTAAGCCAATTACTCCATCTCCTTACTATACTAGGTTAGACAGTTCAGAGTCCCTACCATATGAAACCATGATGGCCGCCCTGAGCCACCCGTACCGGTTGGTGCTCGATCATGACGACCTTACGAAAAAATAGGGGACTGTGACCAGTCTAATCCTTCAGATCCTTGGTCCACTAGGTTAAAACCAACAGCGAGAGGTCGAAACATAGTAGTCCACGTTAGTAATCAAAAGCTCGCGCTCATTTCATTCTTTGCAGGTGTTAAGATGTAATCAAATTATTAAAATTGTTTACTTGCACATAAGAAGCTTTATTTGTGAGCATGAAAGTGATTTTAATCAAACTTTTCACATAGATTCTTTTTTAAATCATTTCCGTTATAAATTATGAAAAGTATTACAATTATTAAAATTTTCAAATTAATCACCATAAATATTTGCATACCCTCCACTCAGGGTTTGTATAAGAAATAATTCTTCTTTTACGATAATTTATCATTTTCGGACTCAGCAATGAGCCCCAAGTTGACTCCCACGACGCCAGGATCTACATCGTGAGTTGCTTCGCTGTAGTCGATCGTCATTATGCCGGAGAACTCGCCCTCGTCGCTGTTCGTCGACAAAGAAGTTTTTCCGACTTTCCCTGGGGAGCCGACGATGGACTGGTCGTTCGATTGTTTGGACTCTGTCTCGCCTGGATCGATTGGCTCGTTTAAAACAGACTTTTTATCAGTGACGAGGTTCGACAAAGTAACTTTTGATTCTGGAGAAGAAGACTTCCTCGCCAATCGTTTGGCTGGTTCCGAGTCCCTTAGTTTGTAGGGCGTCCGACAGAATGGTCGTTGATAGGGACCTGGCGCTTCTCCACGTCGCTCTCTGCTTCGTCTTCAGGGGACTCCGCAATTTCTTTTTCAGGACCCAAATCTGCCTTGCTGAGCTTAAATTGCTGGTTAAAGAAGCTTCTTCATTCGTTGGGCAAGTTTCTTTGTGGAATCTTTTTCACCTATCCCGACAAAACGAGAATTCCCAGGAGAAGAGGCAAGCCGTATTGGATGCCTCTTTGACTACTTCTTCTTTAGCATCGTCTTTAATGCCTTCTTAATTCAAAAAAGGCTCGTCAGACTGTCGAGGGATTTTGGAGAGGACCGCGTCTTCGAATGTAACGTCTTCAGCTAAATCAGCCATGCCGTCTTCAAAGACTGCGCTTTCAGTGAGTCGGCGTTTTTTAACCAATCACGGCTATCCAGAAGAATTGTTTTGAGCTGTTTTTATCTGCTCATTTTCTATTTTGAGAAATTCTCGACTTGAATCTGCCGTTTGCCGTTTTTGCCGTTAATCTCGCTGTTATTTTTTTTTACAAACGATGATTTCCAACAACAGTGTAGGTGTTCATACTAAAAGATGTCAAATCTATAAATGATTGAATTAGTTTTTAGTACTTTGGTACCCAAAAAAAGTCACTGTATTGACTTAATGAACCAGGACACACACAAATTTGTTCCCTTTAGATTATTTACGTGAATTTTTGCGGTACTAGAGCAGTATAATGTTAGAGAATGTGTAACTTAAGGGTGCATTTAACTGATCTTATTCTGTCGATAGATTATCACTGAAAGATTGTTACAAATCATTTTGTCACCAGTGGAATGCAACATTTGTACATAAATTAGTGGTAGTGGTAGGCTCAATTGACCAATTTCAATATAGAAATTTATACTTTGCTTCAAGGCTTGGGGGAATAAAACAAAAGAAATGTAGTATTCATTGGATGTAGTATTCATTCAAGTGTGAATTTTAATATATCGAAATTGGTCTATTACCTGGCGCTGTTTTAGGGAATGGGCCTGCATTCAACCCCATTTAAGAGTCTCTGTTTGGAAAAGATCAAAGACTAGACTCGAAATAAAGGTGGAAAGGGAGCCTTAGACAATAAGTAACGATAACTTTTTAAAAAATAATCATATAACTTATTGTTAAATGGTATTATCATTTGTTATAAATCCATACTTAACTAGAAGATTCTGTATGAAATCCCCTAGCCGTTTCTTAAAAAAATTGTAACAATATGAAACAGTAATGAGGGATATTTTGGCTTCAATAAATAGTACGATACAGGTGACTCAGAAAGCGAAATTTCGGAAATCAATTAAGTTAGCAATAATAATAACAACAAAAATAATGATGATGATAAGGAGGATAACACTCTCAATACTGTAGCCTGATTTAAGTGTTCTTCTTGATTTCACATGCAAATTTCCCTCATTTGATTATGGCAAGCTACCCTTAGCAACAACATGCTTATTACTTAATTAAGGGAACATGATGTTTGAAGAATTTAAACGTTTGTCAGGAACTGTGACGTTTGCAGTGGTCTTTTATAGTAACAAAAATGTTTTCGTTCCACGGAGTAAATAAATACCAGAGCCACGCTGTAGACAATTTCTTCATTTAAGACTTTTCCGTATACTTAGTACACATAGATAGTCCTGACAATGGACACGAATAACGAACGCTCTAATGTACTCTATTCTGAGGTTGCAAAAACACACAAATGCAATCAAGGATTTTAAAAAAAAAAATAGCGAAAAACATTTTGCTCAACGTTTCGATATTGCAATAATAACAAAATATGAAATATAGCCGATTTTATTTTGTAACTTGAAAATGTTGTCGGGGCGACATCGAAACGTCATGTAAAACGTTTTCCACTAACCATTATCATTTATCATTAATTCCATTCAAATTAACCTCTCGCATGTATATAGAAAGTACTTACAGTTGAACTATGCAGTCAGTATACTAGAAAAAATTTCGATTTGTTTTTAACACAGGGACTGCATAGCAAGTTTAGAGAGGGCTCACGCTCTATTTTTAGCTTTACAAACAACGTATCAGCTGACTTATTTATATTGGCGTTTTTAAAAAAACCCGGCAGATAATATGTTACCCAGGTGACTCAGATAAAGAGTGTGGACAATCTGAAATTTCTTTATCTTGCCAGAACATGCAGATGTTTAATCTTCACCTTTAGTACGTGGGATATTAATTCCCAGCGCGAGAAAATACTAGACTGAGGAAGTAATGTACTTCATTAGCAAAGCATAACCAAAGCGAAAATTGTATTGCACGTCTATAATACATCCACGTTATGTGCATATTATCACAGAGATGTAAGGCCCCTTATAGAAGCTAACAGGAACCTTAGTGCTCGCTATCATTTAACTTCAAACATTGCCTTCGATTTACACTTTTTCGATTCAGTCATGCTTTTTACATAATTATCATTTCAATTTTATTTTGTTTCAAAAGATTAGTGACTAGACTATTTTTTTTTTTTGAGACACTTCTCGGTGTGGCCCAGATTTCAAAACTGCGATTTAAACCTTTTTCATATGACTACGTAGCACAGATCACGGACAGCTATGTCAGCTATTGGATGAGCTAGATATATTCTCATCTACGTTTAATACATTCTTAAATGACCACGGCATTACCTAAGATGAATATCATGACTTGTCGGGAAAGAGAACCCTCTAGGCTCTACATATATAGTTATACAGTATGCTAAGAGGGAAGCGTACTGCATAGATTTATTTATAAAGAGCGCTGGACAGTAGCTGACAGTGATGCTAGGGTTGCCACGAAGCCATACCGGTTGATATCAAAATCGTTCGTCAATGACTGGTCATCGGTCTCATATACAGGTTACTGTTTATCCAGTTCATTTGTCTCTACCCGTCAATGTAGGAGGAATTCTCATACCACCAGCCAATCAAAGCTCCAAAGAGATGCCCCAAACCTGCTCCTATTGCACCGCCCACCAAGCTCGCTATCGGACCAGCTGCTGGGCATACCGCTGTGCCGATACATGAGCCGACGATTCCACATCCCAGACGACAAGCTGCCTTAGCAACAATGTCAACGAACTTGACTTTAAACTCTTCCGTAGTCTTACAATGAGTGTATGCTTTGTAGATCTCATGACCTGCTACGCCAGCTTCCATAAGGATTGCTAACCCATATCCCACATAGAGGGCATTTTCATTAATGAAAACGGCCACCTCGTCGGAAACATTAGCCTGGAGCTTGATAAGTAGAGGTAGAACTTTCTTCGTGGTTATATTTCTACCAAAGTCATACAGGCCTGTGAAAGCAGAATAGGCGACTTCTCGTGCTGTAAGGTACCATTGTTCTACTTGAAGGCTCACCTTCAGCCCACACATGCTCCAAGTTACAAAATGCTCACAATTGTTCTTTAGAATGTCGTACCAGTCTTCGCCCAATCTGGTGAAAGCTCTCTTGATCACTTCCTCTGCGGAAAAGCGTTTTAAGTGGGCTGGCCAGATGATCTTTTTGACCTGTAAGGGTAGGAAAAACATTTAATATACACACTGTATGCCGGAATTTCTAAGCCTGCTGAGTGAAGAATTTAAAATCTCTATAGAAATTTTAATTTTTTGGTGACTCTTTTAAGATTACACACTATCTTTGTCTCCAAAACATTATGCATTTGGATTCATTCTTCCACCAGTTCTCCCGTAATAAAAAAAATAACGATTTCAAAAATTTTGTTGACCCGGAAGTAGCATCAAACATGATAGAACGTGAAACTGAAAATTAAGGGAATTTAAGGGAAATGGAGATTGATAAGTGTGATTCCGATCTTTTCATGCTCCCCGTTTTGTTCCTCAGTAGATTAATATCTGATTATTTATCAATTCGAGGACCGATTTATGGTACGATTTACCCATGAAGTACCGTAAAATTCCGAAAATAAAACCCTCCGATAAATCGCTCCTCCAAATGCAAGCTCCCGGGGGCTTGTACTCGGAAATTGCCCTCAAATTCAAAAATTTACAGTGACACAAAAATTTTTGCATTTGCCAAAGAAGCTCAAAGAACTATTACGTGTGCCAAATGATTGCAGTTAAAAAGTGTCACAGTATATTGATGTTTGCGTAGTTCACTCTTCAGACTTGGCTGGATTTCTTTGGTCCATTTAGACAAAGTACAAGTTGCATGGCTGAGTTTTAGAAAGATCTACGTGCTTAAGGCGAGTTTCAGTAAAAACATCCTGCAAATTACTGACATAAATGTCCTTCCAAGTATAAACTAACCCAATGGATTTTGAGACGCATGTAAGCCTAGCCGACTATAAAACGCAAATTTCCACCCGTATATTAGATGAGGTTTTATTTTCTTTCTCTAGTCTTCAGATGCGGGCCGCGGAGATTGATACACGAACACTGAACACGACCACAAAAATGTAAAACAAGATCTCTACCTTCGCGACTGAAGTAGTAACGCGCGCGCCTAAGATATTTTTGTGTTGGAAGGTTTTATCTTTAATACGTACCTGTTGTTCCACAAGTTCCTCAGATGAAAACATTTTTTCTTCTATTTCGCCCTTGACTCCAACATCTTTGAAAGACGTGCATCTCGACGCTTTACTTATACCCCAAGCAGGTCCACTGTAGTGTATTACGATAACATGGTTATCTCCGCTGAAGGTACACAGCATATGATGAACATAATATTTTCTTTCAAGAACGAGATGGTCACCTGCTTGAATGCCGTCTGAATTTTCGACAAGGACTTTCTTAAAGTCTTCTCTGTATCGCTCCATAAATTCTTGCTGCTTTGCCATCGAGCCCTGTTCATACTTTCGCCATTTTTCACGAGAAGGGACTGAAAACGCGGGCGGCATTTTGTAAGCGTCTACCTAGATGTTTCTTTTTCGCCGATAATATATTTTTTTGAAAGCAAAGATTATTAGGGATTTTTCCCCTGAAATAAAATTGAATGTTTTGTAATAGTGGCATCTTGGGAATTCCCTTGCCTTCTGTATTGGTCTTGCAATATAGAGAGGAGACGTCGTTACGTTACGTTGTCATGGTTGCAAAATTTTTGGATCGAACAAACGGAAAATTCACTTAAAGTATTAAAATTCGCACTGTTTCAAACTTCATCGGTCTTATTCAATTCAAATGTTAGCGAAATTTTCTCGATTGAGTTCGAAAGAACCGTATCTGAGTTTAGAAAAAGAAAAAAGAAACTTTTTGTGTTTCGTTCCCCTACTCCGTAAAGCGGGCGCGTAAAAATAGGAAGTTTCATGTCGTAGTCGATCAAGGATGACTAAAAAATGTACAAAAAAGTGTGGTGCCGTAACGTGACGTCACACTTCTCCTCTCTATTAACAACTAAAAATATTATTGGATATTGGAACCTATC